CCCCCACCCTGCTCCTCCTCCTCCTCCATCGCCTTTCTTGTCTCACTTTGTGTGGAAATGAGCCACTGCCTCTGCCAGCGGATAAAATTTCATTGTTTATGTATTTATTCATTGTGAAGCAGGGGATTTAGCGACTTTACAAGGTCATTCAAACTGATGAGTGAATCTCTCTGTTCACTGAGATGTAAATACGGACTCACGCTGAGGCTGCAGTCGCACACAAACACAGATGTAGCCGCCGTCATCATCGACCCTCATCCCGTCCTCCAGCTGATTACGTTTCCTCGACTTCCACCGTCGTCTTGAGGAGAGGATCCTAGGAATTAAACACACACAAAAAAACCCAGGATGAGACGGTGGTAATGATCTTATCAGAAACAGTGGGTGGCGCTCTGTTTGTATTAAATATGCTGACAGGCAGGAAACACACCTGCAGACTGTGAACGGCCGACAAGTCTGGATGAGAAGGTTTAGATAAAAGCTAACAGCTGTTTACGTCGTGTTTTGAAAAACTGAGAAGGATTTTTAAATATTTATTTGAAATTAACCTGCATTACTGTTGCCTGCAGTTCATTCTGTGAGGCTGCAGTGTGGCCGTCACTGCGCCAGAAATTACAGACAGACATTTGTCTCTTTTTTTTTTTTTTTTGCAGCAATAGGATTACTGCCTGCTGTGCCTGTACTCAGGGGTTTGATTCCAACTAGTCCTCAGTACTAGGTTGGGTTCAACAGAAAGGGCAGCTGGTATATCATTTTGGTACAAGCCATGATTGTTATTATTATAGTCTTTCTTCTTTGTTGGAAACGTGCTACGAAACCCGTAGTGCCATGTCCTCTGAGCGGTCACCAGAACAAAAAACAAAAAAGCACTACATAAGTGCAGACTATTTCGCCAAATATAGGAACTAAACCTGAACCTAGTCTACCTGGCAGTAAAAAGTACAAGTCTTTTTCCTTCTGAAGCCTCTTTTCTACTGGGAAATGACTGGACAGTTTCTGAATGCACGGGCAGTAAAACCTTAAGACCATCAAACTCCAAAGGAGGAGAGCGGACACGAGGCGATGCAGCTGCCGTCTGGACCCCAGACCCTCATGGGGTCCATGCATTACCAGGTGTAACCCCCCCCCATCCTCCATCCTCCATCCTCCCATTCCTCATCTTCCTCTTCAGACTCTTTCATCATCCCGGTGACATCCACACAGAGGAGCTAAAGTGGACTCATCTGTCTGTCTGTCAGAGGAAAAGGTCATTTTCTCTGTGAGGAAGATGAGGGCAGGACGTGGAGAAGGACACCTCAGGGTAATTATCAGAGGCCGGTTCACACCGTAGGGACTAATGACACCAACATGGTTATAAAGTACAGTATTCGTTTGTCAAGGTTTTTGGATGAACAGTTGGACCAACGGGGGTTGTTGTTGGACCATGTCTGGACAGTTGAGCTGAAATACTTGATCCCATAGTTATATTAAACACAGGTAGACATACTGTACCAGCTGTACCAGGTGTACCAGGTGTACCAGCTGTACCAGGTGATCGGAAACTAAAACTAAAAATATTTCAAAACACGAACGTGATAAACTTAAAGTTACATTTCTACTTACAGTAAAATATAAGCTAAAGCTAATCGTAGGAGCATTAAATATATATATGCATATATATGTGTATTTATTTAAACAGTATATTATATATTAAGAGTTGTAAGTATTTATTTATACAGTATATTATATATTAAGAGTTGTAACAATTGTATATGGATATTTCTTTTAAAAAGTTAAACTAATTTAACTGAACTCTAAATTAGAAAAACAACAAATACATAATACTTATATATGTATAAATATACTGTCTATATTTTAGCTTTTCTTTCATGTTTAGTTAAATTACTTTTAAATTAGTATTCTGGCCCCTGATACCACTCCAACTTCCCATGTGGCCCGTGTGGTAAAACCACATATTTTTATTTGAGAAATAACTTACATGACATCTGAACCTCCTCAGTAATAAAAGGATCTGTCTCCTCTGAAACCCTGTGTGACGTCTCCCTTCATGTGACACGGCTGTTGGTTTGTCTTTGGCCTCAGTGAACTGCTCAGTGTGGCTGATATCACACGTTTCCTCTGGATTCTTTCTGAAATCCTCGCTGAAAACAAAACTGAAAATACCTGAGGCTCAGAGGACCGACACATTCTGTTTGGAGCTGATAACATTTCTTACAGTGGCTGCTCTTCACAGAGACCACATGTACAGTAGATGAAGGCTCCTTCAGCTGAACGTACTGTAAAACCAATAAAGACATACAGCATCTTTCAACATGTTCCAGTGAAGGGTTAAACGTCAGGAGTCAGAAATGTTGATCTGAATATTCTTCTAAGAGGATAGAACTTCACAAACATGTTTTTCCAGTTGTGTGTCTAAACTTTTGGGAGAATTTTAGCCATTTATTGTGAATTCTTACATATTTTATTTACAAATTTCAATCACTGGCAAACATTTATCTATATGTTGAATCAATAACCTTTAAAAAAGAAATTATCAAATCAACTGAAACTTTAAATTATATTTCCTGACTTTAGGTTTTCTTGGGCCATCTACTGCTTTCTAATCCAATCCGATCCAATTTGAGCATTTTCTACCCTTTAAGTTGACTGACTTTAAGGTCTTTTATGATCCAATTTGAGCATTTTCTACCCTTTAATGACATTTTTGGCCAACATCTATTTGTCACTAAGCAAACTTTAAATTCAAGTTTTGATAAAGAAACATCACCATGAACGTTTTGGAATGTTTTTAATTAAACTTGATTCCTTAGCTTTTGGCTAACCCACAGTTGTTATTGCTATCTCTAGGAGTTTATTTTAGATTTTTCTGAGAAAATAAAATATTAGATACTACTGCTAAATTTGTAGCTATCGTTTCATAAATACGATAATTAGCATAGCTGGCAAATCTATTTTTATCTGTGTTTCTGTCCAATCTGTAGCTCATTTTGAGCCAACAGAGCCGTCTCCATCCGTGCCTGTCATTTGTGATGAAAACATGCGTCGAGACCGTGACACTGTGAGGTGTGTAAAAAGAATAAAAGTGGAAAAAGAAAAATGAAAGAGCGGTGAAGGTAAAAGAGGTGAAGGAGAGAAGTGAGTTGATGAACAGTTGCCTAATGAAGGCATTGTGGGTAAAAAAAGAGGGCAGGACCAGTTCTTCTACTGTTGCCTTCGTTCCCATGTAGCTCAGCATCTGCAGCTCTGCGCTCAGACAAAGGACACAGCGGTGCGGACACACACAAACACACACGCCAGCAACCTGCTCCGACTTGCAGCGGCAGCAACTTCTTCCAAATGAACGCACTTTTTCACAAGGCAACACAACCAGAAATAGTGATGACTGGTGTTTGCTGTCCAGGAGGAGTTTATGAGGAGGAGAAAACAAAGAAATCAAGATTTACTGCTTAGATATAACAGAAGAGGAGGAGGAGGAG